CCACTCTCCAATGTATGCCAGAAGGGGATTAAGCCCCTCTGTCTCCAGCCACTACCCCCCACTCAGTAAAAAGGGAGCCTAATGTCTCAGGCTGAACGTATACCGCTGGGCATACGATGGCATGTGGTCAGCCTGCACTGTTCCCAAAGCGACCATCGGTGAGCACCGTGCCAGGTCAGGTGCTTTGGAAGACCCCCAGGAAACAAGGATCTTCACAGAGCCCAGTGTCCTCGCCTGCAGAGGAACAGCACACCAGCAATGCACTCTGCTTAACAGGCTACTCTGTCCCTCACTGCGGCATGAGGGAGTGGCCCAGGAGAACTAGGCATGTTTAGGGTTACACCATCAACAGAAAGTTTCATTAGGTACGGCAGAGCCCCTAGCCGGAGGGGATTGGGGCAGTGGGGTTTAGCAGGGTGCCATGCAGGAGAGAGTGGAAGGGGGCATGGCAGGGCCCATTCATGAAAGGAGGATGGGGTACAACAGGGACGCATGCAGGACAGGACTGGAATTCAGCAGGGCCCCATGGAGGAGGGGAGTGAGGGCTGGGGTACGGCAGGGTGCTATGAAGGAGGGGGTTGGGGTCCAGCATGTCAGCCCATGCCCCACCCTCCACACACACACACGCGCACGCACACACTTGCTGTCAATGGCAGAGCTGTGCTTGGTAACTTGGACTGCTTTTACGACTGGACGCCACAAGGCAGGTTCCTGGTGCTGTGCACAGGCTGCTGCCCAGGGGTCTCCCCTGGGGTGTTGCTACAGACAGGGCTCCCAGCCGGGCGGGGCAATGCAGCTGTCATTGCCTCAGAACTCAGGTGGAACCCGACAAGGGTTGATAGACGATATCCCAGCTCTGCTTTGGAGCTGGAGGCTGTTTGTCTCGGGCCCCAGCCACATGAGGCTTGTTCGGCGGGAAGAACAAGTGCCCAGTGCATGGCATGGTGCAGTCCTGGCAGCACCTGCGAGGATGCCAGGGCCCAAAGAGGCCAGTCGGGGCGGTTAGCATTACCGTGACTTTGTGCTGTCCTGTGAGGTTTGGCGACTCGCACAAGAGCTGGGTCTCGGAGACCGTCAGGGCGCAGGGAGTGTCACCAATCAGCACTGTGTAGTTCAGCCGGGAGTTACCAGCAGCCGGCGGGAGCAGGTTCCGGCCCTTTAAGGGAACAAGGAGCGAGACCATTAGTTCTCCCGCAGCTGGATTCTCCCATCACCAAGCAAATTCTCTCCCTCAGCCTTCTAACCCCAGGGAGAGCAGGAGGCTGCAGGGATCTTTCCGCTCCCCCGTAGTCCCTGATACAAGTCCAACAAGAAGTGAAGGACGAGTGGGAATCTGAGCCAGGGAGACAAAGAAGATGCACCCAGAATGAGCCAAACCCCTGGGGCACGCTCCCTGATTGTAGTGCAGTTACCCCGGGGATGACTTTGTCCCTGAGCTCTGAGGGGAGGGATGCTGTGACGAACTGGGACTGTTCTTACTGGGGTGTGTGAATGCTGACAGGGGAGTGTGGCTAGGATAGTCTGCATCGGGGGATGGGAGTCTGCCCGAAGGCGAATACCTGAGCGTGTAACATGAGAACCCAGGAAGGGGTTGGAGGCCAGGTGACACCTTGGCCCGGGAAACTGAACAAAGCGTGTGGGAGGGGTCGCTGAAGGCAGAGTGTTGGAAGCTGGGTGGTGAGATGGCTGGGAGGCAGAGATTGCTCTGACCTCCCAAAGGGGCTGGGATGCCCTGGGACCCCCAGATGGACCTAACTGAGGGGGGGCCCTGTTGTCTGTGCCTGCAAGACCTGTCTTGGACTGTATTCCTGTCATCCAAATAAACCTTCTGCTTTACTGGCTGGCTGAGAGTCATGGTGAATCGCAGGAAGCCGGGGGTGCAGGGCCCTGAGTCCCCCAATACTCCGTGACAGATGCCCCTCCCACCCATGGAGACACAGGGTTAACCAGGGCATGCCCTCGTCTAAAACACTCCACATCCCTTCTGCAAGGCTCTAAGGTGCCACATACCCACTCGCCCCCTGGGGATAATTAAACCAGGGCTTCGTAACCTGGGGAGCGCCACCCCACCGGTGCCAAGGGGTCCCAACCACCCTGCCCTTCCCATACTGCTGAGGGGGAGGGAGACAGTTTGGAAAAGGTTGAGACCCCGTGACTTCCATCTCCGTGGAACGCACTCCTTTGCCTACCTCCTGCAGCAGACCCCAACTTCATCAGCCTTTACCTATAGCCAGAAAATCCCACCTGTCCTGCAGGCAGAGGGTTTGTAAGGGCACAATGGGGTTCTATGGCTCTCCCACTGCTGGGCAGGGAATACCGCCCCTCCCCCACTTACCTGGCCGGCACAATCCATTTAACCCCCGAGAGACCAGCTGCCGGGCCAGCAGCTCTGACTCTGAACTGGTCCATTCCATCCCCGTTTGAGTTCTCTGACCTGCTGTACAAGTGCAGCTGGCCCAGGGTGGAAAAGCAAGCCAGAGATCTGGGGCTGCAATAGGGCAGCACAAGCGATGGGGGACAAGAGCTGTGGGGAGCTTACCTTGAGGATAAGGGGAGAGCTGGGCTTGAGCTCCAGCATGCCAGAGGGGCTGAGGGGCTCGAAGATGGGGTCCGGATAATAGACGAAGCTGGTGGTATTAACAATCAGCAGCGCCTGGACATTATCCATGACAAAGCCAATCTCATCTGGGCGGTCACCGATCTCTGGGGGGCTCCGGGATGGGTTGTCGATGGATGGAGCGTAGCACAGCATGGTGGTGTCGTTGTAGACAGTACAGTTCTACAGAGGGGACAAGGCACCAGGGCTGATCAGACAGTCTCCCATCATCTCAGGTTGTGATACCATCTGATCTCACAAGCTAAGTTGGCTCAAGAGTGGTCAGTCCCAGGAAGGGAGACCCCCTGCAAGAAGTAGTTGTGCTGAATCTGTCACGGGGCACTCTTCCCTCCGAATCACTCCCGAACCTAAGAGGTGCTGTGCTGTTGGAAGCCCTTCTTATAACGGAGACGCAAAACCAAAGTACTGAGCACTTGTGGCCATTCAAAATCCAGTGACATTTTGCACAACAGCTGGTGCTGGGCCACACCCCATCCATAATCCCACCTTCTCACTGCTCCCAAGTGACATGGGATATAAAGTGGAGCTCCTATATCTTCCCTCACCACTGCCTGTCGGCTCCCCCCGAACTGCCAGCGGGATACCGGATTCTTCTCCACTTCCTGTCCTAGACTTTAGTGTACTGTTGCTGTGCAAACCCCTCATGTTCCATCCCAGAACTGGCTGCATTTCAGTGCTGGGTCAGGAGACTCCTGTATGCCTGGGGCCTGATTTTCAGAGCGTGGATGTAAGGAGAGACCCTGCCAGGGACTGGAGCTTTGCTGTCCCCCCCTCGGTACCATTTCTGCTTCCAAAGCACAGCATCCAGTTCCCCACTCCTCTCCCTCTCTCCAGATCTCTAACCCCATCCAGTCACTTTCTCCCCCACCAGTGACAGACCTGTTTTGGCCCCTCCCCAGGTAAGACCCGGCTGGCTTGGTGCCTCTCTTCTAATGACTGAGACCGGCAAAGTCACAGGTACACAGGGGAGGTGGCAGGACGTGATTTTCACTGGTGTCCTGCATGGAAGCAAGGAGATAGGACTCCTTGCCCTCCCTCCCTAAACCAGGCACAGGGCCTCTCCAGACAGCTGGAGATCTACTTACGTTCTCCCTCTCAGCGCTGCCGTACTTGGCACGGATCCTGGGCTCTTTGATGGTGGCCAGGTTGGTGCCTATCACAGTCAGCAACGTCCCACCGCTAGGAGGCACAGAGAGGAAGGAGTTAGGAGAGGCTGCTCTGGCACAGGGCACCCAGGCATTGGTGAAGGTGGGCACATGCCATCGCTGCCTATCTTGGAACCTGTCCCAAGGGACTCACTTGTAATACTGGAATATGGGATCGTCCCTCCCAACTCCAGTCTGGAAACATCCCAGCAACCCATCAGCATGGACCAGGTTCTGCCATTGGGAACAATGTGCCCACCTCACTCATGGCGCCACGCCGGCTTCTGTCCACGCAGCAGGAACAGATGACTTCCACCTTCAGCCGCAGCAGCAGATCTGCCAGAGGCTTCCATTTGAAACAACATCGCCCCCGTGGACCACTCCCATAGTGCTTGCCCACTGTCACCTCCTGGCGAGCGGAGCACCGAGAGCACGGCACAGAGCCTGGCTGCTTTGGGCAAATTCTCTGCTGTGCCTGTCGGCTTCCTGCTGCTGGAAGGTGCTGGGTTTGCAGTCCTGGCAACTGCAGATCTCTGCAAGCTCACAGAGCAGTTACAGCAGGGCGTTGTAGGGCGAGCTTCCCTCCACCACAGACCTCTGGGATGTGTGGGGAGTTCAGTCTCCAGGGACCCACTCAAGCCTTGGCCTCTCTGCTGAGGTGCTGATTGGGGGAGGGTTCTGGAACATGTACACCTGCCTACCAAGGGGCGAGATCCTCCCACCCCATCTCAACACAGGTCCCCGAAGCGGCAGCAGCTTAGAACGTCCAGGGTACATTCCAACTGGCAACCTCCTCCCTTGGCCATCCAGTGAGACCCAGAGGAGTGTGGGGGTCAGAAATGGAAAAGCCCCACGAGAGCCCACCCAGGTATGCTCTGGGGGCCAGGACAGAACCTTCTCTGGGTCTTTGCTTTAAATGCCCCAGAGCAGCAGGGCTTCCCCCCAGGCTTTTTGGGGAGCCTATTTCACAGCCAGGCTCCAGGAGGGCCAATGGCATGTGCAGTTTAATCGAGTCCTTACCTTCTGCTCCAGCCAATTCAAGCCTTTTAACAGCAAATGTAAACCCTTCAGAAATCCCCTGGTGGGAAATACTTTCATATTATTTGCTGCAGCCAAATGCCAGGCCGAAAGTCCTCTCCTCTTCTGCCCCCTGCCAGTCTAAGTCCTGCAATTCCAGGAGTGTGCTGACGCCAGGTACCACGCCGGGCACCCCTGGCTACTCCTGCTTTCCTCCCAGTGCTCTGGAGCATGTCCTGTAGCCAGCCCTCCAATGGCCTATGGTGGCAGTGCCCAGAGGCCCTGGTCGGGATGGGAGCCCAGGCCTGCTAGGCGTTGTACAGACATATCAGAGGCATGATCCCTGCTCTGAAGAGCTATGCTAGGGCCCCACCTCTCACATATACTCAGCATATACTCACACCTGCTAGGGCCCACGGGTAACTCCTCCCCCGGTGAGCACGAGGACCCCTGCCCTCTGCAGATTTACCTGTTGATGCTCCACTCTGGGTCTATCTTCTGGATGGTGGGGTCCTCTGTGTAATTGTACTTGACCTCGGGGTTACTCAGCTCGGCCCGGTTGATGTTGATGAGGATGGGTGACCCGCCAGGGCTCTGGCCTGGTGGCGTCCGGCACCGGATCTCCCGAGCGTTTCTCCTGGGGACAAGGCAGAAGAGCCGTCAGATACCGAGGAGGCTCTGAGCATCTCTGGCTATGGGGAGGGGCAGGACAGCATCTCACTCTGGGTTACACATTGAGCACCAGACTCTATTTGATGGTTACCAGCCCTCGCAGGCACCCTCCACCTCCTCCTACCCCAGAGGTGGGCACAGCACTCAGTGCTAGAGGCGGGACAGAAAACCACCAGCCCAGTTGTGCAGGTGCCGCAATTGTGTGGGGGGGGCACCCCTTTGTCAGTTCAAAACACAACTTCACCCGCCAGCCACGGGACCTCTGGGCTGGGGAGTTTCTGGCAATCAGAGAGGGAGCCCTGTGGGGTATCCAGGACAGCCTCATCAATGCAACCCCTCCTCAGTTCTAGCCACAGCCTCCAGCCAGGGGATGGGGTGCACTTTGGAACCTGCCGACACCGCTCCTGGTCCCGCCAGCCTTGGGCAAGCCCAGCAGTGACAGTGCCCGAGGCACTGCCCTCTGTCTCTACCCATCTCCCCCCCCTTCCCCCGGGGAAGTGCTGGTGAAATTGTCAGTTAACAGAGAGAAAAATAAAACAAAAGGCAGCAGGAGAAGCCAGCGCAACTCCCGAGCGTTCCCCATCGTGCGGCTGCTGCAAACAGCAGCGATTAGGGCTGATAACCAGTAATTACCGCAGGAAAATATTTAAAGAGCCGCTCCATTATCATCCCTAATCTAAAAATTATCCACTTCATGCCTCAGGGCTTTGTGATTTTAGAGACAAAATCCTCATTCTTTGGTCTCTTTCAGGAGCCTTGGAAATAGAAACGCCAGGATTTCGAGGGAGAAATTCCACAGGAACCAGGCAAAGGCACCTCACTCTAGAGCCCACACTCCACCCCTGTCATGGCTGTGGGTCCGCTCCCCATCCTCTCTGCACAGCCCAGGGATCATACCTGCCTCTCCAGCCCGCCCCAGCGATCCCGTCCATAGAACCCCTACCATGAAAAGACACAAGGTCGTCCCCCGATGGTCACTGTGACATCACTGCCTGCGTTGAGGTGGTTGCCCTCAATGCTAATCCAGGTGCCCCCAGAGAGGGGACCCCGAGCCGGAGTCACGCGGTAGAAAGTGGGTGTCTGCCAAAGAAAAGCAACAAATCCGGCAATTCAAGCATGAGCAGTGAATGACAAAGTGCAGAGCCAGGGGCTGCACGAGTGGCCGATGGTGAAGGGGGCAGCTATTGGAGCAAGGTGTGCAGGAGGCGGGACGTAGCTGTCGGACAGCAACAACGCACTGAAGTTAAGGCCGGTGTCTAGAGGAATCCCATACCCAGCTGAAACTGCAGAGGAGATTTTAGAGCAGCAGAGCAGTTAGCCGAGATTTGACCAAGACACCCCAACTCTTGCCAAGAACCCCTGGGGATCTATAGTGACCAGCGGCGAGGAACCAGTTTTTTCTTTCCAGCTGAAAAACGGTGCTTCCAAGCAGCAAAGTGTCAACTCAGAGCAAGACGCATTGTGTCTGGAATCACCGGCTCTGCTTCCTGGAGTGTCTGGGTATTCCTAGGTCTCCCATCCAAGTCCAGAGCCAGCCCATCCCAACTTAACTTGGGAGAATTGACAAGGTTGTAAACCAAGGTGGGCTCACTGTAGGCGTCAAACTGGGACCGTGTCCACCCCTCCTCCCCACTCCCCACAGATTTGTTTCTATGGGCTCCGGTGCCCCTGGGAGGGAGCGGGATTGGTAACTACAGGCAAGGGGAGGCGGACATGCTGGGAGCCAGAGGGATAATACTGTATAACCTTACCACAAACGTGAAGCTTTTGGGGGATGTGGCCCTGTAGCTGGGGGAGCAGTCCCTGATGCACACCTCCACACGGGCATCGTGGGCTCGGCCTGAGCTGGCGTCTCCGATCTCACACACAATTCTAGGGGAAGCAGGAAAGGAGCTCTCAGTGCATTTGCCATGGCGGGGTTGCTCCGCGGAGCTACACACGGATGTCCTGGAGCAGAGGGGTTGGGGAGCTGAGGGCTGGCCTGGCTGGGCGTGCCTGTCTCCTGGAAGAGCAACTACCATGACGTTTGACTATAGGACCACCTCAGCCCTGCATTCTGATGGGCTGTTATGATTTACACCGCCTAGCCCATGGAGAAGTAGGAAGTTACAGCTCTCAGCAGTATGTGCTTGGAGGGGAAGGGAAGGGACAGTCCAGCACTGATCAGCTGTCAATGGAGTAGATCTCCTGGCACAAGCTGAAGCCCCTGGTTGCCAAGGAGCTCCACATGAGCACAAGGACATGTGGAGATCTTCCCCAGAGAGCCCGTGTCCCCCCTCGCCTCTGTCCACAGCAAGCAGAGCCGCCCACTGCTCTCTCCGGCTGTTCAGGTTAGTCCTTCACTGCCACCTAGCCCAGGGACAGGCCTGGGGGGGGCTCATGGGACCAGAAGAGCTGTTCTCACCAGGAGACTGTGTCAGGGTTTAGATGCCCCAGGACTCAGGCAGGCCCATTTCCCTGATGACTTGCTGTGCTGGTGAACCAGTTATCGGAGTGAGCTAATGCACAACTTCCCTACTTAACTGCCCAGTCCAGCCCTGCTCCCAGCCAACTGCGAGGCTGGACGTGCTCAGACAGCAGCGGGTGTATGAGTTGGGTCGACAGCTCTCCGCTGACTGAGATCACAGCTCTAGGCTAGGAAGGCAGAAGGGGACACTAGGGCCAGTCTAGAACTGGCCAGCGTGGCCTGCAGGCTGGGTGGGTTTGCAGCTCCACAGGCGGTGTCAGAGCCACTTCTCTGCACTGGCTGGGCATGGGCTCTGCCCCTCGCTGCTCCAGCTCAGTGCCCCAGCGTTAACACCAGCTCCCAGCAGCGAGAGTGAGCGCTCCCACTCAGAACACGTGAACCCCTCCAACCTGGAGTCTCCATTTCTGGCTAGCAGACCAGGGCACCCGACCGCCCCCTGCCAGTTGGGCACTTACTGCTCCGCGCTGATGTACTCGCTCTCGATGGGGATGCACATCACTTTGCCGACCCGCACTCCCGTGCGCACATCCTCAAACTTCAGGCCCAGGTTCTCCCCAGTGATGGTCAGACGGGTCCCTCCCTGCCTGGGGCCCGTCTCCGGCGACAGCTGAGAGAGAGCAAAGCAAAGCTTGAATTGGAGGCAGCAAGAGGACAGGGAGAGGGCTCTCTGGACAAGGGTACGAAGGCAAGTGCTTTGGGCTATGATAAGGGCCCAGGGGTTCTTACTGCCCACACAAGGCAGAACAGCCCCCCACCCACCACCCACCCCCGAAAGCCCCACAGACAATAAGCTGCCTGGCACTCTGCCTCGGGTGGCGGAGCAGTGGAGTCAACCCTGTGATCCAAGGAATCTGGGTCTTTCATTACTGAGCCACCCCCTCTAACTCACAGGAACTCTGCACACGCCCACAAGCGCCTGCTGATGCATAAGCACAGACCGTCTGTAGGCCCAGCTGCAGGGACAGCCATGGCTGCACGGGGTGGAAGAGGTAGGCCTGCCAGGCCTTCTGGCAGATCACAAACACTCTAGAATCAGGACCACACCCTGCCCAGAGGACCAGTTCCACCACACTCCTGCTCCTGCCCCGCAGAGAGGCTGCTGCCCCAAAGGCAATGGACGCTAACCCCTTCCCCACAGCCACCCAGGCCCCTCTCAACAAACAAAGCCTGAGCTGGTGCCAGCTGGGGAGAGAAGGGAGCCCCCGACTTCGAGACGCGGCTCATTTAGCCGGATGATTCCCAATAAAGCAGACAGGTGTGGCCTGACAAAAGCCAGCACGATGACTGATGAGCAGAGAGGCGCAGGCCCGCCACTGCTGCTAACAAGGTAATTATGGGCAATTTTACACCAGATTTCATCGGCCCCGGCGCTCAGCACACACCTGCAGGCATTAAACAGAATTAATGGGGGAGTGCTGTGCTCCCATGCCAGGGGGCTGGGTCATTGGCAACACGGAGCCTGGGGAAGGGGAGGCAGGAGGAGGCTGCCCCAGCAATTCCCACGGGATGTGGATTCTTAGAGTGGTGCCAGTGGGGAGTGAGCTGGCACATTAATACAGGGGCAGCACCTTGACCCAAGAGCACGCATCTGACCTTCCCACACCCCAGCGGGAAGCGCTGGGAGAGATTTGGCGCTGTCCTTGACAGCCCCAGGTTGCTATGGAGAAGGCCTCAATGCCGGAGCCAGTTCCTTCCTTTCAGTGAATTTTCTGTTCAAAGTCCTGGCTGGCCCTTTCCTCCCTCCTCCCTCCTCACCCCAAAGCCCATACCAGCTCCCTTTGGGGCTGCCGCAAAGCCAAGCTGGCCTAGTCTATCTGCATTCATGGCAAACCTGGCCTGCTGTAACTTTGGGTCTTGGCTGTTTTATCAGCTGGGGATATCCCCCTCCCAGTGGTGGGCGTCCATTCGCTAGACACAACTTCTCCCCAGCCAAGGGCCAGGGCAGAGAGGAGCACAGGGAAGGAAGAGAACCAAGCAGTAGCCAGCCCTGTCTCAATGCGCCCCAGCCGTGAGGAACTGCGCCGACCTAGGAGCAATTTCAGTAAGGCAATCTAGTTCCTCGCCACAGCAATGGCCACTGCGGGGTTACTAATCATCACCTAGCGTTCGCACGCTGCATCTCATCTTCAAAGTGCTCTGCAAACATCGCCGTGTACAACTAATGATGCTGTTCAGAACAAGTCCTAACTAATCACCCCCCACCGAGGCACAGGCTTGCTTCAGGTCAGCGGTAGAGCTGGTGGCAAAACCCAGGAGTCCTGGCTCCCATTCCTGCACTCTGACTCACAGGCCAGGCCGCACGTTAACTCACAGCAGGCTCAGGGCAATCACACGCCGTGAGCTGGAATTTATACGACAGTAAAACTGATTTGGGCTTTGGGGTTTTGCTGTTTGCCTAAATCCAATCCAGCCCTCTGCTAAAGTCCCGGATCAGGACTCATTAAGGCAGCTGCAGCAGGCGATCAGATTTGTTCTCCCCTAAATTGGGCTCCGCTGGGGCGGTTGGCGAGAAGCGGCTGTTTGTTCGGCATTTTTAAATTAGTGTTAAAAGCTGCCCCAGCGTGTTAGATTCCTCCTCCTCTGTGGTGAAATTGACAAGGGCCGTGCATGGGGGGAGCGACAACCCCGGGAAAGAGATGACACCGCTTGCACTGCTGCGCGGGAAGGTCACAGCTAAACAAGGCACATGGGAGCGAGAGCTGGCAGGGAGATGGAGGCTCTCCCAAACTTCCCACCCCCAAATCCCCACCCACCCCGGCTCCAGCCCTGACAAACAACATTGCTCTTCTGCTAATTGGTTTCACAGGGTCCTTTTACATAAACCAGCAACTGGCTCCTCTGAGCGCAAGATGAGTGCTTGCTCCTCAGACATGCCAGCCAGAGTGGGCGCAGGGGCTGCCAGTGGCAGAGAACAGGGCGCAGGCCAGGCCAGTTGGCTGGTAAATCATTCCTAAGGGGACAGCCCCGTTCAGTTCCATACTGGGTCCCTTCTCGTACTAAGCACTTACGTGCATGCCAGATCAGAAGGCCCCTGCTTGTCAGACAGGCTGGAGAAAGAGGATCTGTTTGCAGAGATGCTGGGAGCACAGAATCACTCACATCCAGTGTCAGGGTCACCATCTCCCAGCTAGGAGACAGCTGCCCCTAGGGAGAGGCTTGGGCTATGCTGGCTGCAGCAGTACAGCATCCCCTCACCTCTTCCCATCACCATGCTGTGTCAACACAAAACAACAGCACGTGACCACACAGGGGCCAGACGCTGCAACGCAGCATTGCTACACGACTGGGTCCCACAATACCAAACACAGAGAGGTGTCCCCCCTGGGATCCCTCTGCCCCATGCTCTGATCCCCGGACCCTGCTTGCATCTTCCTCAGGCTGGATGTCCTCTCAGTGCAGGAGTCACTGAGTGCAGCATGGGTGCTTTCCTGACTGCACTCCCAGGCCCCGAAGACGCTTGATTCTAGCTCTGCTTTATATTGTGCGGGTGGTCTGTGTTAAATAATTGCAGCATTTCTGCACACAGGTACACTCCACCATCACTGTGCAGCACCCACAGCTTTGTATGACTGTAGGACCTACAACCAGCGCAGCGGCTGAACACAACAAAACAGTCACCAATGACCCCCTCCCCCCCTGCCCCCCGCCCACCATAGGCTCGAACAAAGATGAGCACACGCTGCAAGGGCAGATGATGATTGCTCATTGATTTATTTATGCAGGACCTAAAACTTGTGTGGCAATTTCTTAATTTATTTTTAATGATTTAGGGACAGAGAGACCTATATCAGGACCAGACAGCAGTAGCTAATTGGATGCAGCTTGTAGCCAGCACATGCCATGTCTGATGCATTCAGCGTGAAAGGCGGGAGCCCAGATTCCTCAGTCACTCACTCAGTCCCTGAGGAAACCCCCCAAAGACGGGCCCATGTGTAGAGAGCAGCCAGCCTGTGGGTGCAGTGAGCCCCCTCCTCCGCAGAGGGCTGCGCAGCACGAAGGGGAATGTTAAGGGCCAGATTTCAACATGCTCAGCATGCCCAGTTGGGACCAAAGCCCCTTATTTCAGGGCCAAACGGGAGCTGAGCTCTTTGGGATCTCTGGCCCCAGCTGTGGGTGCAGACTCCTTTTGAGAATCCTGGCTTCACCGGTTACCCCTCTGCCCCGAGAGGAGTTCTAGTCTAGGGCTGGGGTATTTTTAAAGCTTCCCAGAACAGCACCGAGATATGTGCTCTTCCTCTGGATTCGCACAGTGGAGTCATCTGTTCCAAAGATGTTTGATAAGCGGATCCCCGTTAGCCACAGCTGGGTTTCCCATACAGAACATCCCCATCTCTCCCACCTACCCAGCTGAGCCAACACCCCAGCAGCCTGTCAGTGCGCAGCCCCACCGGTGAATAGCTTGGCCTGAAGGTTAGGAGGCCTTGTTACAAGCCCGTCCCTTGGGAGCCCCAGCTCAGTCAGGAATCCAGGCTGTTCTAGAAGCTGTAGGAGCACATTCTGTTCTGGTGCGAGGGAAGCAGAGAAAGCGCCAATCCACTGGCCTGCACGATTGCTGCTCCCACCAGGCAGAACAGGCAGGGGAGAGCCCACTTCCTGCACACAGAGTCCTGGCCCGGATGGCAGAAGTGCAGGCAGTAGCAGTTGGGTTGGCTGCCATTTAAAGCAAACAGTCCTCGTGGCTTTAAAAGCACTTTTAGGTCTATGACACTGCAGTGTTCCACCTTCCAGACACTTGGGAAATTCCTTCCTTGACCTCTCTGGAATCACAGGGCTGTCCCCCTTTGCAATTTTAGGCAAAACTAGAGATCCTGAAATGACAGGCTGACGGGGCAAGTGATGGGCAAGCTTCTTCCTAACATAGCTCTGCCAAGGCACCTCGCTTCTCACCTGCAGCACTCCCAGTATTTCACTCCTGGCTCCCATTCCCTTCTCAGTGTGTCACTCCATCCTGACCTACAGCACCCCAGCAGCCCCTGGGGCCCACCCACAACATGTCCCCTCCTGCTGCCACTGAAGCCAATGGGAATTCGGCCACTCACTTAGAGGCAGCAGGATAGGGCCCATGTGAGGTCACATGAGATCAGGGCATGCATCTCTTTATATGCAGAACTGGCTTCAGATAGCTCAAAATAAGGTGACAGCTGGTCTCCTGGATGGCAGACATACCATGAGGAGAGCAGAACCGGGGTTATTTCAGTCCTAAAGTGACTCCCAGGCAAATAGCAATCTACATAATACAATTCCAGGAACTCGCCGTGTGTCTCACTCTGAAACCTAAAATCTCTGTTGAGTCAGTGTGAAGCGATGGATACAGCTACAATCATGGTTGAGAGCTCTTTCTGTTCAATCATCCCTGGGATGCATGGTCTGCTACCATCCAGTTTTTAAGTTCTCAGCCACTTTGAGCTTTTTTACACACATGACTTTATGAATTACGCCCATGTGTCAGCAGGACTTTTAGCTACTAGTACATAATCAACACGTTCGCCCTTCCAGCACCTACTAATCCAAGGAGCTCACTACCCTTTAAAGACAGTAACAAAGCTTCCTAACCCTCTTAGGAAGCTGGTCACTAACATTAGCGGCATTTTACATATGGGGAAACTGAGGCACACCGAGGTCTCAAAACATTTTCAGACGTGTCTGCTAATTCTGGATGCCTCAGTGATTGGGGCCCCAACATGGGACAACTTGGGCTTCATTTGCAGGCGTGTGCACCTGCTGCTCCCACTGACTTCAACCGGAGTGACAGGAGCACAACACTTCCTGAAAATCAGGCCCTAGTTGTCTCAAGCTGGGCACCCAAACACAGGGGCCATTTTTGAAAACGATGGCCAAGTGGCTCGCCGGCAAAGCCAACGTGACTCCCAGTCCTGTGACTTCTGAGTTCTTATGCTTGGGCGTCTCAGCACCAGACTGGCCTTGTAGGATTCAGTTACCAGGTCACCTTATAATAGAGCTGCCAGGCCTTGAAGAGCCCCTCCCTAGACGGCTATGCTGGAATTCTCCCTGGCTACCACACCCAAGAAGAAGGGGCTCGACTGGAGAGCTCTCAGCACATTAGCCTGAGCTGGTGGGAAGAGAACTCCTGATGGACGGATGATGAGGTGCATTTCCAGGTCAGGATTTACACAGTGTGTGTGTTTTAGCTGATGAGGAAGGTACGCAACAGGGAGCGAGGCATGTTTCAACACCCAATGCCCAGAAATGCTCCTTCTCCTATCACTCCGTGCCCCGCCCCCAAGATCATTAAAACTGAGTAGATCTTAAACTCCTCATGGACGTCATAGTCTTTACATTGTTTGTTTTTCCTTCCTGCACATCCTGCCCAGTCTGAGGCAGTGAAGCTAGGTGGGCCTGTTACCTTTTGTAGGCCAAACCCAGCCCTAATGCAAGCTGGTGCATCTCCTGCTGACTTCAACAGGAAATGCGCCTGCTTTGGCACTTGATGAATTTGGTCCCCTCTGTCTAACCAGTATCACTCTGTTTTTAGCCAGTTCCAATGTCAGAATCTTAGGTACTAGCCCAAAGCTGTAAGGCTGGGGTATCCAATGCCGCAGAGAGCAGCCCCTGCTCTCCCCATCCCCCTAAGCAAACTTTCATTGATGTTCATTAATCATACAAATCTTTCTATTGATATTACATTGTATAAAGATTCTTTCTTTAAAAGCTCTGATGATTTGGGCAGAAACTACTTGACTAAATCTTCTGAGTCCCCTTCTGTCACCGGGAGAGAACAGCTGTGAGGAAGGGACCAAACTTGTCCGGGAGATTGTGGGATTTCTCTGTGGGGGTCTAGGTCTCTCCCATCGCGGGTCCTTGAAGAACAAAGCGGTTATTTACTGGAAGGGCTACTGGTTCCTACAAACATGACACTGCACGAGGTCTCACTGGGGAGATTACTGTCCGCTTCTATATGAGGAGAGATTAATAAGATTGGGACTTTTCAGCTTGGAAAAGAGATGACTATGGGGGGATATGATTGAGGTCTATAAAATCATGACTGGTGTGAAGAAAGTAAATAAGGAAGTGTTATTTACTCCTTCTCATAACACAAGAACTAGGGGTCACCAAATGAAATTAATAGGCAGCAGGTTTAGAACAAACAAAAGGAAGTATATTTCTTCACGCAACGCACAGTCAACCTGTGGAACTCTGCCAGAGGATGTTGTGAAGGCCAAGACTATAACAGGGTTCAAGAAAGAACTAGATAAATTCATGGAGGATAGATAGCCAGGATGGGCAGGGATGGTGTCCCTAGCCTCTGTTTGCCAGAAGCTGGAATGGGTGACAGGAAATGGATCGCCTGATGATTACCTGTTCTGTTCATTCCCTTTGGGGCACCTGGCATTGGCCACTGTCAGAAGACAGGATACTGGGCTAGATGGACCTTTGGTCTGACCCAGGATGGCCATTCTTATGTTCTTATGACTGCTTTAATGCTAGCAGACATTTTGGAAGAGCCATTAAACCTTATGCTTCAGGGTTTAAGCCAATCTCTCTTTTCTGGAGTCTAAGAAGTTTCTTGCACCTTCCTCTGAAGCATCTGGTGCTGGGCACGGCTGGAGACAGGACACTGGACCAGATGGCCCCCGGCTCAGAGCCAGCATGGCAATTCCTATGTGATTTAAACCTTGGCAACAAGGGGTGATAAGAAAACACTCCTATACCTAGAACACGGGAGTCGGATGGACCCTTTCGTGGGTCATGCACACAGTATGGAACAGTGTGTCTTGTGCTTAGAAGTGAGGATGGCATCAGAAGCCCTCCTGCCAAATCCATAGCTAACTCGCTGCAGGACCTTGTCACTTCCCTGTCCTGTGCCTCAGTTTCCTCCTCTGTAAAAGAGGGATAACGGTCCTTACCCCCTTCCATAAAGTGCTTGCAGCTGCAGTCCCTGGGTGGAAGGTGATGGGCCAATCCAGCTCCCAGAACAGAACGCCTGCAGCTCAGCCCATCTCTGCTATAGGATGGCTCAATGCTCTTAATCACTAGTATTTTTTATCATTAATTTGAAACAAAATCCCAGTGGATGGGTGACAAGCAGACATTGTCGGGGCAGGGTTCCCACCCACTGCTGTGAATGGCAGGCATGTGCCTGCAATGGAATTACACTTCTCAGCAGGGCCAGTGCAATAGTCACCTCAGTGCCAATAACCAGCCCGAGCTGAGTGACTTTGGGGAACAGGAGAGGCACGACTCTCATTTCCAGCCTTCATCTGATAGGACACTGAAACCCAAATAGATTAGATACTGTGCTGAGACTCCGGTAATTAACACCGTCAAGGCCTGCCTGGCCCGGAATCCGTGGGTAAATAGAACACATCAAATAGAATTACCCACCAATCCCTCCTAATGCACTTGGAGCCTGGCCCAACAGACATGTTAACATTAATATACACAATCTTATTAACTGAAGGTCATAAAAGCTGTCACAGACCAGAGATGATGAACTACCACTGCCCAGGGGGCAGGGAAGAGGGGGGAAAGAACCCAGACCCACGGCTTGCCTGAGATTCCACACCAGGATCCAAGGAAACCTAGGAATATGTGAGGAAGGTCGGAGCCTCTGGGTGTGAAAGCACCGAGAGAGAGGCTATTACTGCAAAACCGGGGAGAGGGAATAATAAACAAACAACCCATGATACCAAGGCCACGTTTACACTACAGGGACCATAGTGGCATAGCTTCATGCCAGCAGCACACTGGAATGTAGTACCGTCTGCACCGACGGAAGGGGGTTTTCCGTCGCTGTATGAACACCACCTCCCCAAGCAACAGTAGCTACATCAACAGGAGCATTCGTCCACTGACCCAGGTTTCTCTGCCTCAAGGATAAGGACAGCATCGCTCAGCGGCTTTTTCACACCCTGGAGCCACACAGCTATGTCAACCTCCATTTCAGGTGCAGCCCAGGCCTAAGAGCCTGCCATCTGAGGATCTCAAAGCACTAACTAATTATGCGGAATCATGATCACCATTTTACAGAGCAGGGGAACTGAGGCACAGAGCCAGGGTGTGACTTTGCCCAAGATCACACACAAGTCAGTGCCGGAGCCAGGAACAGAAGCCCGGAGTCCTGGCTCCCAGCCCCTTGCACTAATCCACTAAACTGCACTTCCCCCTCCGTACAGAAAGATGTGACATCCCCACCCCCATCGCATGGGAAGGCATGCGCCCCATGGGTGTCAAGGGATCAGCAGCAACAGGTGAGACAGGGAATTCAGGCTTAATGTGTCAGAACAAATGAGGGTAGAGTGACGTGAGAGGGCCGGGGAGATCCCAGTCAGGAGAGCAACTAGTGTTGCTGGGAATTCCGCATGGCCAAGGGCACGCATCACCAGAGCAGGCAGGGAGCCAAGGGAACGTGCTCACTGGGGCCAAGTAGGAGAGAGAGACAATAGAGATGACAGTGTATATAACTAACTAGGAGAGAGAGGGACTCTGCCTCTGTGCCACCCTCCCCATGTCCCTAGCCCTGCACTCTGCCAGCTCTGGTCTCCTTGACATTCCCTTTGCCTCCACCCCATTTCTCGAGCCACCCCTTGCACCAGTACATCTGCCCTGTGCCTCACAGCCTCCCTCTCCAAACGCTGAGAAACGCTGTCTGAACAACTGCTCCCTGGAAGATCTTCCCTGCCCGAGAGCTGCTAGCTCCGTATCTCCCACTCCCTGCTCAGCCATGCTCCTGTACGCTACCCATCTCCTTTAGACTCTAAACTCTTCAGGGGAGGAAGCTGGGCTTCTTAATTATCCGTACAGGCACGTGCACACCCATGGCACTCAATACGCTAGTCCACCACAGCCATGGCCAGTGCTGAACTGCCCCCTGCAGTGTATTCTCCAGCACTGCATTCAGCATGTGTGCGCACACACCCAACCCAGACATACCTTGATGATCTTGGGGTCTGTACAGCGGCTGTTGCCGTTGCTGGCGTGCATCCAGCTGCTCTCGTAGGCCGGGCAGTGCTGCCGCAGGGTGCACCTCTTCTCCGTCACGCACCAGCCACACTCGAAGCGCGGATCTGCCTTGAGGCAGAGGCCACAGCTTTCGCGCAGGGCCGAGCACTTGTACAGGTGAGCTGCAAGGGAAGGCAGAGGGGTGTCAGGTCATCCACGCATTGGTGTTTTTTATGACGAGGGCACCTGCCCACAAGGACCCGGGCAGAGACCCACTGGCTTATTTCGCACGGGCCAGCCAAATGTTTGGGAACCGCTAACACGTTGGGATCTGCGCTGACCAGATGGCCTGGAGTGCGGTGCTCCGCAGAGGACATGTTTCTGGAACAAGCGCATCTTGCTTAAGGGACTGGCTGGCTCAGGGGGCGGGAATGGGTATGAAGGGCTTCCCCTCTAGGGCCCGGCTCTAATCAAGCCCCAGCTAGAGGCTGATGGCTGGGAGGCTCGTGAGCGGGCTGTGCAGACAGATCATGTCCTCTGCTTACCCTGGATGTTCTGGGGGTTGTCGATGACAAAGTTTCCATTCCACACCACGGACAGGTTCACGGGCAGGTCGCTGATGTCATTCCCTTCGTAGAAATACTGCAAGGGGAGACACAAGAAAGCAGAGCCCCTTCGTCAGTGGGGGGAGGGAAGCCAGATGTGCCCTGATGGATGAAGAGAGGCCCAGGAATCTCCCCGCTAATGCACTATTCCCTAGTGGGAGCACAGAGAAGGAAAGAGACTTGGCTCAGACGATCCCGGCCAGCAGGGATGGGTCTGGCACCACAGGTGCCTTTGTGCCACTGGTGGCTGACGGACAGGCAGAGAGTGCTCCCGCCCACAGGCCTCAACTAGCAAAGAAAGAAATGTCATGCAAACCACGAGTTTCAAACCAGCAACAAGCCCCATTAACCAAAGAGATCCCACAGCCAGCCGGAAACTGTCCCTGCCGGGGAGCAATAAACAGAAAAACCCCAGCACACCTGCGCCCCCAGCAGCTAGAAGAGGGGCTGGGGCGATGCTTGGGGGCTTGCTACATGCTAAGGGGGCACGGGGGCAGGAATGGACAGGAGGTGGGGGAGCATGAGAGCCGCCTGGGGACACTGAGCTCATAGGCACCTTGCAGCCAGAGCCGATTCCAGCAGGGCCATGCTGTACTGGGTTTGCTTGATGTGGGCACGCGGCGAGACCCATTCCCTACTAACACTGCCCTTCTCTAGCACCTCCCCGCTGAGGAGCAGCGCAACCATTACCCTGGCATGCCCCACCCTCGCCCCAGAGATGGGGGAGGGGAGCTGCTTTCAATGGCACTGTGCCCTACCGCAGCTTCTTCTCCCTCAGGGGGCTTTGGACACTACCATACGCCTCTCCTTGCTGCTGTGGAAGGAGCTGAAGGCCAGGACTACTAGCCCCATCTCACAGGTGCAGCACTGACGCACAGCGATGGGGGGAGGGGAGGCTAATGCACAGCCTCACAGATCTGGGGGAAATCTGATACGTTCTCATCACAGTCAGAGACTCCTAGCACTGACTGGGCAACTTCCCGTTCCCTGTGGCTCTGCCAACGTACCTCAGTCCTAAGCAAAGACACCCGCTGCTATTCCAGTCCCGACCCCCCCCCACCGCTCTGCCAATGTTTCACCAGGCTGCCTCTCAGCACCCACTGCCATTCGGATCTCATGATCCTTCCACCTCTGCTGACACCCTTCGCTCCTAATCTGCAGTCCCCGCTCCCTGCTATTGCAGGCCTGGGCCTCTCGCTGCTCTAACAACCCACCACAATCCGGATTCAAAACCATCTCTGTGATGCGGGCAAGCATGCATTAGGGACTAGGGCAAGGCAAACCCGGGAGCACAGAGAGACGACGTGTCTCTCTCTGGGAAGGGTCGGGATGGACCCTGCTATCTGCAGCAGCTCACAAAACAAATCTGTAAGAGTGTCTTCACCAGAGCAGCACCGGCACCTGCAGCCCAGAAACGGGGCCATTCTGGGAACAACATGGGGGGGGGAACTGCTTTGATTAATTATCCCTCAGTCCTCATGATACACAGGCTCGGTCTGTGGCCAGAGTAAGGAGCGTTTTCCCCTGGCGGCCTGTTTAAATGGAACGATTGTGCTGTCCACACCTTGGCAGAGATTGGAGCTGTCTTTCTGCCCTCTGCAGAGCACAAGTGATGCTGGATTCTACCTTCAGTGGAGCACAACTCCACCCCCCACACCCTCCATGCCTGGATTGCAAAGCCCAAGGAACTCAAGCCAGGCTCAAGCTCTGGGGAGGTAAGCAGGGGCAGTTCAAAGACACAGAAAATAGAGATTAGAGCTCCAGCAAACTGCTCACCCTGCCCCTGGGCCTCCTCCCCACCAACTCTGTCTACCTTGCTTCTAACCTGAGCCAAACTCCTGGCAGCCCCATCAGCAGTCCCTACACAGCCCCTGCACGCAGGCGGAGGATTAATCGATAGGGAGACAGGAAGGCAGTCGGAACCTTCCCTGACAGCTAACGACCTCCTCTGGCGAGAGATTCTCCGCTCCTCTCTGGAGAAAATGACAGGCGTGTCAGGAGAGATTAGATGAATGATTCATGGGTTGCTGGAGTTTGTTGGGAGCCACATACACGGCCGCGTTGGCGCTCTTTGGCTCAGACCCCACCCCCAACCCCTGCCAGTTACTCTGCTGCCCAGCTTCACAGACTGGGCGTGATAACGGCGGTAGCAGGGTAAGCAGCATTTCCTCCTGGTCCATCCCTTCCTTCAACACCAGTTCTGTGCTTGGCTCAGAGGAAACTGAAGTGATTCATTCCCCCTTGCAGCCCTCAGATGGGACTGAACAGATACCAGTACCAGGGGGAGGGGCTTTCTCCTGCCAGGGAGCCAGTAACACCTCTGCATCCCCTGGCCTGAGCTAAATTAATCACCACGTTGTATTAGATATGGAACTTTTCATGGAAGAATCACCAAGCTCGCTACAAATGGGGAAACTGAGGCAGAGAGCAAGCGCGAGGTAGGAGGAGGTGAGTCACCTGAGTTCATACAGTGAGTCGGTGGCAGAGCTGGGAATAAAACCCAGGAGTCCTGAGTACCAATCCTGTGCTCCAGCCACTAGGATCCTGCCCCCTCTGTGTGAAGCAGCAGCAGTGGGCTGAACTGCACAGCTTGGGTGGCAGCGGCATGAGTCCAGCGGTGACAGACCAAACCTGGCTCCGTGCAGACAGGAGTCATCCCCCCTTAGGGCTGGGTATACCGGAGACTCTGCCAGAGTCGAGGAGTTATTGGGACTCACGCTAGCCTTCAGGGCCAGGTGCCATGGGGTCACACAATAGCTGGGTGCACAGATAAGACGCAGGGCCTGATTTGGGCACTACCTGCCTTTTGACAGATGTGTTAGCTTGTACCTTAAACTATACATGCACACCGGGCAAGGTCAGACTCATCAGTGGTAAACGGACTGGTTCCTGTGCTGCTTACTGAGCAGGGGAACTTCCAGGAGACCTGGAAATCCTGCATCCCGCCCGCCCTTCCATGGACACTAAAGACCCTAGAGCACCTCCTATCAGAGATGGATTTCACCCTGCAGTCCGTAGCCATTAGTTCCCCAGTGCAATGTTGCTGTGCACCGGTTGGCCATTGCCCTTCCTCCCAGAGGTGGCTGCATTTCAGTGGTGCTGCATGTACGCCTGTCTGTACAGGTGCACTTTGGGAACTTTTGGGGAGGGAAGGTGCTAAGGGAATAAGATACTAGTAGCCTGTCTACACACCCGAGCAAAGTCAAGGGGGTTAGGACTCAGAACGGAACATATGGAGAGAAATAGGGCAAGGGGACATTTTTCGTGCTCACATCAGACTGCCCTACTCTGTGTCAGTGCACAGCCTAGATAAGCTGCCTCTTGGCGCTACTGCAGCAGCCCCCCACTAGCTAGCAAGGGGGCAAATTCCTTGGCCTTTCTGGATGGGACCAAGAGCACATGTGGGCAGGCCACTAACTGGGCTGTGCTGGCCTCCGCTAGAGGCCTGCACAGGGAAAGGCATGCCTGGTAGTTCAATGACGGTAGCACGGGGTGATCTCAGTGCCAGTGTTTGATCCCTGATCAGTGTAAAATCAGAGGGACATTTGGGCTCTGTGCCCTACATTCATGGGAGTAGGCAGGAGGAATGGCTACTCCCCATGACTTCTCTCTGCCTGGGCCAGAGACCAGATTACACCCTGGCCCCTGCCCCATTACTGGTGCACCCAGAAGAGATGGGGGCCTTCCCCTCCTCTGAATCTGTGCACTGTGGTTATTGGGATGTCTTGCCTTTAACCCAGCTGGCAGGCTGAGAAGCTCCCCCAGTGCTCCTCTGGGGATTGGCCAAGAGGGAGCACCTCAGCGGAAACCAACTGCCCCACAAAGCCAGAAAGCCCTGCAGGCCCACCCCTTCCCTCCTTCCCGCATGGCGGCTCAGGGCAGGAGACGCGCCAGCCCCTCTACAGGGCTCTGCTTTACTGGGGCCATTCGCCTCATCCCCAGGCTCCCAAAAGCTGGAAGGGGAGGTGCCCACAGGCAGCATGTGTTGCTGAGCAAGAGGCAGAAGGATGGCCCAGGAGATGGAGCAAAACAACTCTGCTCCAAAGCCAAGGAAGCAGCAGGAGGCGACACATGAAGCAGTACTTGGGGCCATTCTGATCTCATTGTACAACCTGCCCCACCAGCCTTGGGTATCCCACACCCGGGCCGCATCACAGGTTACAATCCATGCATGGCGCGCACTCCCCCCCCATAGTGAAATGCAGCTACCTCCAGGGTGGAATGCAGCTGCTGCTTGCTCAGTGGTGCAAGGCAGTTTATGACAGGAAGTGAAGAAGAATGACACATCCAATTGAAACCACCACTGGGCTATTCATTATCATAACCACCAAGAGCTCTATTTTCCAGCTCAGCTGAAAGCTTCAGCGGAATAGCACTGCCACCATCAACACCCTAGTGACTCACGGCTCCAGCACAGACTCACGCTCAGCTGAGCCAGCACCAGCACTACATGAGGTGTTCCTTGGCGGGCTCCCATCCAACCCTCCTTGGCACATAATAGCCAATGAAGGCCTTTCACCTCTGAGCTCCGCAGGCCTTCCCCACTGGTCCCAGGATGACAGAGCAGAAGGGGGTAGGAATTCAGATCTTAGCAGGTGTATCCTCCCTTCTGTCCTACCTCCACCTCAACAGGTGGGCAGAGCCTGAAGGACCCCCTAAGAGGGACAAGCTACATTAACGAGTGGAGACCGTCAATCGGCAGCCTTGGGAAGTGGGAGTTGGGGGAGGGGCAACGGAGCAGGATTTAGCTGTGACGAGAAGCATGGCAGCCTAAGTGAAATTGGCATTTTCAATTTGTACTCTGACATGTCTCATTTGGGGCCCTGGCATCTCGGGAAGGCATCCAGCCTGCAGCTGTCCGAAACACTTATTTGCATCTCTCTGCCCCAGCTCCTTTTGGAAATGAGTTCCTTCTGGGTGGGGGTGAAAGGAGAAGAGAGATGATTAACCCTTCACGCGCCAGCCCTGGAGACAGCAACAGGCACATGTGGAAGGCTGGGAGGGGACAGACCCAACAGACTGCGCATCTGCCTCTGG